ACGCGAAAACGTCGCTCCATGACGGAATCCCCTCGCTAGTCATCTGCCCGGCCCTGCGCCGGACGCGCAGATGACTGACGTGCAAATCTAGGTACGAGGCTTCCTCTTCCAGCCAGATGGCGGCGGGCCAGTTATCGGTTTCAGCAGTCATGAGCGCCCTCCCATGTCCCTCTCCCACTCCCTCTCCAATCCCATGCTGCCATCCACTCCCATAGCCGAATCGCCTGCCCCAGCGTTAGGCCCGCTTTTCGCTATCTTCGGTGATAACACACGCCTCCCCAGAGCCATTATTTGCACGCGCTAGCTTTCTGTCTCACGCTCAGCCCTGCACCAAGTCAAATTCTTCCTCTAAGCCAGCCGCCTTCCGTAAGCCGTCCATCTGGCACACGGAGTGCTGAGGAACCATACTGATCCTCGTGGCGACGGACAGAAACGCACACCCACCTCGTCTTGACTATGCAGCTAGTTCCGACCAAGTGTCTCGTTTTGCACCCGCATGCCTAATCACGAACAGCCTTGATCCAAGACGTTATCTTTGGCCTGCAAACCACTCTCTTCCACATACGGGAGTACGGCTACGGGTTGCAGCGGCGATCTTCAACACTACGCACGACACACCACCCTCAGAACTGCCGCCTGCTGAGCCCTTTCACAATTCCTCAACACGACTCCTCTTCAATTTCCGCGCGGCTCTATGCCTATTCCGCTGTCCAGACAGGCGCCTGGAGGACCTTGACGCCTCGCTTCTTGCTGAGCGCCTCAAGCCTCTTTTCCCTAAAAAGTCAGGAGCAGACCGACCTGGACTCATGGTCATGGCTTGCTGCCCCCATCGGGGGCCGGCGAAGGCGAAATGAGTATCAAACGGTAGTAGGAACGCATGTTCGCTTGTTCGTCTAACTGCTCATGGCTTGCGCAATCTGTGCAGTGTGCAGAGCAACACTCTTCCAGCTTCTCCAGCTCACACCAAGCGAGATAAGACGCTCGGTGCAGGCAACCGCACTCCTACCAAAGCATACGTCCTGCAAGTGGCTGCAGCCTTCACGGTGTCCATGTCCAGACGGACGAATGACGAAGCCGCCCTCAGCTGCAAGTCACTTGGCCGACGTGCTCCAACACGAGCAGCCTGCATGACCTGCCAGAGAGACAGCCCCCACGCTGCTTTTTCCAAGGTTCCTGTACGACATGCCCTAGACAAGCCACCAAGCGAACTCCTTGATACTTACAGGCTTTCTGCAGGAACGGTTTGGCCTTATCGCAAGATCCTCGCGGTTAACGAGGTCCCTTGAAATTCACCTTCTCTAGTGTGCCTCCTTTACCATGACGCGCGATTCATGATACTGCAATCACGGGTGCAATTACAGCAGCGCGACCAATGCGGTACCCAAAAACAGATGTGGCCCGTGAAAGATGCCCTTCCCCACAATAACCGCACGCACTTTGTGATTGCGAAAGATGGCGACATTGCCAGGGAGCGGGCCATGCGCTGCATCGCTTTGCCCTCGAAACGGCTGTCAGCCTCAATAAACAATACAGCGTTGCACATAATCCTCAACAAGTATGCATCGACGATGCACTCCCCAGGTAGCAGCAGCGTTGATCAACGATATAGCACAACGTAATGCATCGAAGGCATCCAGACTTCATATATGCTAGAGTATAGCACCACTCGATTCCCCAATGACTATGCTGTGCATCGTCTACGCGCCCCAGCTGCAAGATGATGCAGGACGCGGCTTGTCCAATATTCGTGCGTCTCATGTACCTGTCCCCCATCATTGCCAACATCTGCAACACTATGGGGACCTTCGGGATGCAGAACCCCAAACCACTCGAAGGACCTTGCGAGATGCGACCTGCACCTTGCAGCAGGCAACATCTCTCGAGCAGCATGCGAATACACGCTGTGTAACTCGACGACAAGCGCCATTAATCTATCGTGAACGCGGCACGGAGCACCAACCGACTCTAGATTCAATAACGAGCAGCCTCGCCTCGTTGCTCGCTTGAACCTGGTGGTTATCTCCCGGGTTTGGCACTCTCCCGAGACATCGGCCCGTTTTGTTGGCGGGTCGACCGCGAGTGGGCTTTTCCCAACGATATGTGTTTCCCGGCGGTTGCCCGTCGCTGGTACTGGAAGGGCCTCCCTTTGCGGGAGGAGTCGGAGTGGCGCCGTCAAACCTACCAAAGTTTCCATGTGTCTGGTGATGCGCGACGCCGCACTCGTGATTTCCAAACTGTAGTCTAACTCTAAGACAGACGATGGCTCTTGTCTATAAACTAAAATACAGCAACGATCTTGGGGTACAGTTCGCCTAGATACAAGCTAGAACAAACGAGCTTCATCAAGGTTTGGGTCGGACCGCGAGCTTTCCGTGCTCTCAAATCAACCGGAACCGAGCTAGCGGCATGACTCGAGCCTCGTCGTTTGTGCCGTTCACATTCAGCCACGAATGACTCTTGCATGTGTTGCGCCGCCTGGGGAAGACTCCAGGCTTCTCTTTGGCCTGTCGACGTTGGCGACATCGTCGAGCCTCATGTTTGTAGCCATGGTACTGCGAAAGCAATGCGCGTGGAGCGCTCCATTAGCCTCGCTTACTATGCGCTTGCTAGTAGCTTGCCAAAACTGTTTCATCACCTCATTTAGACTAATACTGCGAAATCTTCACCAGAAGACAACTACAGTGCAACATTCATCACGCAATCCCGACCAAAAATCACCCGATATCCGTCATGGCCTACTCCGCCGAGCTTCGCCTCGCTTTGCAAGCCGTACACCGGGCGTCATTGCTCACCAAATCCGTTCTCCGGAGCCTATCCAACAACGTGTCTGCGGAGACAAAGGCAGATGACAGTCCCGTGACCATTGCGGACTTCGCCGCTCAAGCCCTCCTCATATCCGCCCTGCGTGCCGTGTACCCAACAGACGCGTTTCTGGGCGAGGAAAGCGCTGATGCATTGCGTCAAAACGAGACACTCGCTGACCGCGTCTGGCAGCTCGTGCAACAGGCGAAGGACGAGACTCATGCAGGTGGCTCCGAGAACGAGAAGGGGGACGGAAACTCTGTCCAGAAGGAGGAGTTGGCTTTCCCGAAAAGTAAAGAAGAGATGTTCGAGCTCATCGATAGGGGTGGGAAAGGGGAAATCACCAGAAGAGGCCGAACATGGGTCATGGACCCCGTGGATGGCACAGCAACGTTTATGCAGGGCCAGCAGTACGCAGTTTGTCTGTGTTTGCTAGTCGATGGCGTACAGCAAGTCGGTGTCATTGCGTGTCCCAACCTCGCCTTCCCCATCCAAGGGGAACTGGGCCAAACTGCGATCCACGAGGACCAAGTCGACAAAGACGGCTTTGGCGTCATACTCTCCGCCGTCAAGGGACAAGGGACCTTTATCCGCTCCATGAACAGTACCCTTTCCGCTGGATTTGGAGAACCCCGCCATGTTGACCGGACTACGCTTCCCCAAAAGAAAACCTCAGAACTAAACTTTGTCGAAGCAACACTAGGCAAAACATCTCTCTCCCAGCCCGAACACAACGCCGTTGCTACTACTCTCGGTGCGCAATGGCCAGGTACCATTCTCTGGTCTCAGCAGATGAAATACGTGGCTCTTACCCTGGGAGCTGCGGACGTCATGGTGCGCATCCCAAAGACTAAAGACCGCTTTACGTATATCTGGGATCACGCTGGTGGCCATCTTCTTTTCCAGGAAGCGGGTGGCGTTATCAGTGACTTCAAGGGCGAACAGATTGATTTTGCGAATGGAAGAAAGATTACGGGAGAGAGGAACTGGGGTATGATTGCTTGTATGCCTGGGTTGTTTGAGGAGGTGGGGAGGGCGGTTATGGAGGTGTTGAAGAAGAGGGATGGTTGAGCTGGTGGTGGGGATGGGGATGCTGGGTTGAAGGGTGTTGTACGCAAGACCACAATACAACATCATGGTTGGATCAAACTCGATATACACTGGATGTTGAGCGAATGCCGTTAGGGTTGGTTTCGATGCGGTGATGTACTGCATCATGATGGTATACTAGAGACTACCTATATCTAGGACTAGTAATCGACATACATCAGATCACAAGCTCTTGTACATTCAGAGTACGCGCGTCAGGCCATACTACGCTCCGATGGTATACCGCGAGAGTCACGCTGTCAGACAGAGACACTATAGATTACGCTACAACGTAATGTCTCAGTATCTCATGTACCTGCTCCACAGTGCCGATTGCGTGGAGTCTCGGGTACCGTCATGCCATGCCCGCACCACACCGGCACGATCACATCGGCTACCCGACTGTACCGACATGTCGCTCGTCCCGAACATGACCGTCCAGCCTCAAAACTCAGGTCCGGGCTCGGGTGTCAGACTCCAAAGCTTGAAAAGCGCCGTGTAGCGCTACACAAAACCTCTAAAACAGCCTCACCGGACAGTAAGTGACATGCCACGGGAATACAAAAATGTGGGGTAAGCCACGACGTGAAAAGAGGGAAAAAACGGAGTATCAGCAGCGGTAAGGACGACATGATGGCATGAGTCTCAGGTGAGCAAGAAATCGGGGGGTTCGGGTGCTCATCATCTGCTTGCATGGCTTTTGGCTTTTCAGGGGTTGTACAGCATGGTATGGTCATATGTAGGGAGAACATGGAATATGCCTGAAAGACATGATGCATGATTGCGGGTCTCTTTTTCGTTATGGGATCTGCGCGGACAAGTATGGAGTGTGTGCTAGCCGTAACGGATAGCATGCACATGATGGGGTTTATTACACGACATCCTTGGTATATAGGCGGTGCTACAGCGGAATCAAGTCCGACGCCAACTGGATCGGCGCTGGTTGCTAGAGAGAGGGGGTCCATGTGCAATTGCGATATGTTGTGTACTGCTTCTATTCCTCGTTGTGAACGCATGCACAAGCATGCTGGGTGTTTGCACAACCGCTCTGTTCATGCGCCCATCCGGCCTTGAGCCGTCGACAGCCGCTGGCTTGTAACACCTTTGGTCTATGATGCGCCGCCGCCGTTTTTCCGGAACGAGACTTTCTCCACTGCGACGTTTTCGTTGCCTTCGGCGTCTTTGCGTAGTTGGTAAACGTAGAGTACGAGGACGTCGCCTTGGACCTAGTTTCGTGTTAGCCTGATATCCTCTCCACCCTGCTGCTGCTTGCTGTTCCTTGGGTAACACCTGGGTAAACTCACATCCATCAACACAAAACTCGGCGTGGGATCCTCGTCCTCTGTCCACCACCCCGTGCTCATAGCGCCTGTCGCACTTCCAGGGTTGACAAAGAACTTGCCTTCCATCTCATACGCCTCGAACTTGTGTGTGCCGCCCCATAGCAAGACATCGACGTCCATCTGCCGCGCTGCTATCAGCAGACTGTCGCCGTCGCCGGGTGGTATGATTGTATGGCCATGTGTGAAGCCTATGCGCAGACTTCCGTGTGTGACGACTTTCGACAAGGCGAGATTAGGCGCTTCCACGTCGAAGTCGCCTTTTACAATCTGTAGATCGGGTGCAATAGCGCGCAGGAACTCGTACGTTTCGCGGTCTGTTATGTTGCCTAGACAGAGAATTTGGCCGATCTTTCCGGGTGCGAGGAGCTTCTTGAACTATATCGTCGTGTAAGCGCATGCGCGTGTGGGTCTACGAGAGACGATGTGCGGTTGTAGTAGGTGGTGACGGATGGTGAACGTGATAGAAGTAGGGTAAAGCGTACCTTGGCCGGTATGTCCTATGAAGCCTGTAAGTTTGTGAGGTCTAGCATCGTGAAGAGTCGCTGTGGTGACATACTGAAGCTCGGTCTGGTATGAAGAGGTCGCCTAGGACCAGCACCAGTCGCGAAGCCATTGTAGCGGCGCAGTTGTGTCTTTATGCGCGCAGTGTACGTTGAGAGGTAGCTCAAGAGTATATAAAATAAGAGATTGGGGCTTCGCAAGGAAGACAGAAATGTAGCGGAAGCTTGCGGGGATGTTGCGCGCAGCTGGAGGTGGAAGTTGGGGAGCTATGCTGTCACTGGGCGGGCCCGGGTGGCAGAACCATGAGCTTGGCAGGGACGCCTGAACTGGAGATCACGATGCTTCTCCACCACCCACTTTAGGGCATCTTGACCATGCTTACCTTTCCTGCTGAAAAGTCTTAGGACTACTATTTATGTCACTTTCCTTGGACCTCAGCCTGTCCGTTCAACACTGGCTTACCCCCCAAGCATTACAATCAACGCTTTTGACCATAGATCTACCCGTGCGCGATTGTGGCTATTGTCACTTTAAGTATGGAGTACGACGCTGACGAAGCAGCGACTAGGAAGCGGCTGCTGTTGTCCTGTTACCAGTCATCCCACTTCTTTGTTATCCATATGTCACATCACTAACACCGATCCCATAAACAAACTCTGTAAACATATCAATACCAGAAAGATTGCAAGTTTCTACGTTGAAACTTGATCTGATCATCAGTTTGTTAATATGACACCGGGTCTGGCTCTCTACGCGATATGCTGACATGGGGTATTTATTTATACAAGGCTAGGACGAGGCTGACTCTTGTAGCTTCCGGTGAACACACCAGTTTTACAGCTGGAGCGAATATGAGGAAAACGGTCTGCCATGACATCGTCACCCGATTTGCAAACAGGATTGTCTACACCGCTGCATTACGAATGCCCGAGCAAATCATAGTCACGGAACAGCTGCACCTACCTACCTCGTGGTCACCGGTGTGTTCTCGAGTGCATGATAGGCTGATAGGGCGTTCGCCTCCAACCGAGAGTACACCTCCACAACACCTCCATAACACCTCCCCAACCCCATAGAAGAGATACAGAGGCCGTTCAAATTGGACATGAGTTCTAACATCTTATTATCCTTCGAGCGACGTTGGCGGCGAGGTATCTGCATAAACCCTGGGACCTGTGAGGGAGGCATCGGGGAAACGGGATGGGCGGCTCTGATTCACTTGTCAATTGTACGCTGCTGCGGCATGCATCCCAATAGACCTCGAGATGATTCAAATAAACGCCAATTCTTCAAAATGTTTTGTCGTCTGCAATCTTTGCAGCAGTTCAGTGAAGACCTTTTTACCGCAGCCCAATCCGTCTTTTTCTGCCCACCCCATCGCTTTTTGCACTTCACACATACAATCGCGACAGCCAATCACGGCCTTGCTCAGCTGCATCTGAATACGTGGGGATGACAAGCCCGAACGACAGTACAGTCAACGTCGCGCTACAGATACTGTTTGGCATTGCCGCCATCTTCAGTGTCATCATAGCGTTGTTTGGTCTGCATTATCGAGATTCTCTTGGATTTGTTTTATACCGGCAGTTCAGGAACCGTCCTAACGAGTGTATGTACACAAGATTGATGGGACTGGCATTTGCTGTATGTTGGCGCTGACTGTACTACTAGCATACGAGCTCGAAAGCGGACTCCAATACTCGGATGACACGACAGCAGGCCGGCGATTTATCACACGTACTCCATCCGTGCAAGATCCTCCTTCGACTGATATTCGTTCAGCGACACCCTCACTTTCAGACTCAACAGCCCCAACGGAGCCGGTTTCCAACACTAGCCTTTGCAACACCAGCCCCGAAACGAACTGCATAGTCATTGCGCATCATCACACGATGGCAGATTCCTGCGCATCATGTGCGAAACTACGATGATCAAGGACAATGTTTGCTAGGAGCTTGCAAGGAGTTTGTAAGGAATTAGAAGAGTATCTACACGTCTTTCCAAGTCATGAGCCTCATACCATGGTGTCGTAGTAGTAATACATGTAATCTATACAGCTTCGTCAAAATACACTGCTATTTCCAGGTGCACCCGAGTTGATCCTCTGGACGACAGACATCATCCCATTGTAGCATGGACGATGTAGTCTCATATGGCAATAGACCTCCTCTCCTCTTCCGCATCACCATACCAACCGAGAAGGTGCGCGACATACTCTCCAGCGAGCCCCAGACTGATCGCTCCGCCAGTAAACCATGCACCGTTAACGAACCACCACCAACAGTTTTTGACTTCCTTTAGCTTCACTCGTCGGATCATCGTCCCTAGGGTGACTGCTGCTCCCCCGACTGAGCCGACGAAGTAGACCGGCCCTAAGCCTGCTGCGACTCCAGTAGCGGATAACAGACCGAGCTGAACGACGGCAAGACCCGACAACACCATCTTGGTTTCTTTTTCGTGCTTGAGTGCGATGCTCTTGATTCCAGCTTTGACATCGTCTTTGATATCCATGTGCGCGTAGATCATGTCGTACAGAACGGTCCACGCAACGTTACTAGCGTAAAGGCAAGCTGCCGCAGTGAGCGCTGCTTGATTCGCCAACAGATCCACACCCAGCGCAGGGAAGCCCATCATCGCACCCCAAGAGAACGTAAGACCGAGGACAAACTGAGGATAATACGTCACCCGTTTCGCCAAAGGATAGAGCGTAACGAGAACAAGTGACGGTGTCGCGTACCAGAAACATTCGAATGGGAGTGATAGAAGAACAGCCAAACCAGTCGTAAGCTGTCCTCCGAGGAAGACAATAGCCTGCTGTGGTGTGATTGCTCGTCGAGCTATTGGACGTAATCGCGTGCGTTCGACGTGTGGATCGAGGTTCCGGTCCCAGAGGTCGTTGATCGTGCATCCGGCGCCTCTCATTACGAGAGCTCCTGTGAAGAAGAGGGCTGTTGTGCTGATGACTGCGGATGGTGCAGCGAGAGGGGTAGCCATGGTTGCAGCGAGAAGTGTGCTGAACATGCAAGGAAAGAAGAGGTAGTATGTACCGGCTGGTTTGTCCAATCTCATCAGCTCGCCGTATGGAACTGCTTTCTGGGGCAGATATGACAGGAAGCCGGTGGTTGGTGGCTTGTAATCGGGAAGTGGTTTCGACGGTCCATCTTGTAGCGCTGTCGATGCCGCTATTCCTGACTGCAAGTTTGTCGAATTTTGCCGTATTGACTTGATGAGCTGGGTGGTTTGCGGACGATAGCTCGCAAGTGACAGCGGTGTTGAGAGTTGCCCTCGTCTGCAGGCAGACTGGAATGTGGAATAATCTCGCGTGTATTGACGACACACCGGTGCTGCCCGCGCTGCGTAAAGTCGTAAGAGAGCCATACTCGGCTTTCAGATGTTTAGACGGTCAGGAGTGTTTGCAATTTCACATGTAAAGGCATGCGTGATACGTCTTCTGTTTGCTGGGCTTGTATGCAGGGTCTCGCTTTCAACGTGCTATGCTGAACATATCGAAGACGATGTAAGTGGCTGGAACCTCGATTGGGAAAGACACTTCGGCCGCCGTCCAGCGCCGAATCGGGACGGTGAGTGAGTGGGGAACGTGAAAGCTGAACCATGGGTTCGCGCTAACTCTCGACGGTACGTGACTGGTCAGAACGCCGTTTCCTCGGTCACGTCCACATCCCGAAAGCTCACCACGCCGCCGCCAAATCAACTACAACTCACACTTTCTGCAGCACTCGCTCTGCCAGCGATCACGACCACGCGCCCCCGCCTACCCGCTGCGCCCCCGCCTATTCGCAATTGCGACGCCGCCGCGGAGGTGCCTCACGCTCCTATAACCCCACACCAAGAACGCGACTTCTGGATGTTAGTCGTGGGTGACGACGATGCCGGCCGCGCGCCCCCGGGCCTCTTTTGAGCCCATACCGCCCGATTTCGATGTGCGCACCTTTGTGGAGACCGCGGACAATTTCCAATATGTCGACCGCATTTCCTACGAGATGATCGCCAACAATGGCATCGAAGCCTTTGAGAAGCTGGTGATGCTGCACGTCATAATAGGCGGCAAGCCTCTTGTCATCGACGGCTTCGAGGAGGTGCTGGATCCTTGGACCTTTACACCCTCGTGGCTGCGCGACAACCATGGCGATAAAGGTAAGCGCAATTTAGGGCAGCACTCGGCGCGCATAGCTAACAGTGAGACAGTCGAGAATGCGCGCAACCTGTCGACCAAGGAGAACATTCCTCTTACCATGAAGCATTACCTAAAGCATATGACGAAGCTGACCGAGCAATTCTTCGACGGCCCTGACGACGCATACCGCGATAAGGCGAGGCAGCGCATCTACCTCAAGGATATCGACTGTCCTCAAGTGTGGCATGATAAACTGAAGGAGCACATTCCCTCGGTTCTGTTCTACCTCAACGAGAGCACTGGTGAGCCTGGGGGCCCTGGCGCATTGGACGAGCCTGGTGGTCGCAAAGGACGCGGAATTGGACGCGCAGGAGATCTTATGAGCAGCCTGCCACCTGAGATGCGCGCGGAAAACCTTATGTGCTATATTGGCCACGAAGGCACCTACACCCCGTCTCATCGAGAGATGTGCGCTTCACTCGGTCAGAACATCATGGTCAATGCATCAGGCAACATCAGCGAAGACGGCAAGCAGGAGCGTCCTGGGTCTTCCATATGGTTCATGACAGAGAGCAAGGATCGGCATGTCGTCTCGGAATACTGGCTTTCGGTATTAGGCCACGACATAGAAGTGGAGAACCATTTCGCGCAGCTCATCGCCTGGAAAAAGGCCCCATTCCAGACTTATGTCGTAGAGCAACGGGCGGGCGACTTTATACTCATCCCACCACTAGCTCCTCATCAAGTTTGGAATCGTGGTACGCGAACCATGAAGATTGCTTGGAACCGGACGACTGTCGAAACACTGGAACTCGCGTTGAACGAGGCATTGCCCAACTCACGAGTCGTCTGCAGAGACGAGCAATACAAGAACAAGGCGATCGTCTACTATACCCTTCAGAAATACTCCAGCCTCATCAAGTCCGCGCGCGCTCAAGTCGAAGCGGGTGGCGAACAGGCAGTCGCAATCCAAACGT